AGTTCCCTGCTCATTTCCCCCTCCTATTCTCAGCTGACTGCCTTCAACAGACTAGATTCAGCTATTTGGTGAATAAACAAGTTTTAATAATTCTTGGTCTTAAATTTTAACATTATTGTCATACAAAGTACTTTATCTGAGATCCTGTTTTTATGAGAGATAGCAATATACTATATGCTTTTTTATTACATCTCCAGCTATATTAGACTGCAAATCTATACTACCCAGGGGTTTATTAGAATTGTAGTCTAGAACAATTGAAAAGTGTATTAAGAAAATCATTTGCACACACACACACATGCGCGCACAGTACAGGTAGTCCTCGACTTATGACCATTCGTTTAACAACCATTCAAAGTTATGATGCTGAAAAAAGTGACTTACAACAAGTCCTCACACTTACGACGGTTGCAGCATCCCCATGGTCATGGGATCAGAATTTGGGTGCTTTGCAACCGGCATGTATTTACAATGGTTGCAGTGTTCTGGGGTCACATGATTGCCATTCGCAACTTTCTCAGGGGGCTTCTGACAAATAAAGTCAATGGAGGAAGTTGGATTCACTTAATGACTGCATGTTTTGCTTAATGACCATGATGATTTGCTTAATGGCAAAAAAGGTTGTAGTATTGGGCATGACTGATTTAATGACCGCATCGCTTAGTGACAGAAGTTCCGGACACAATTGTGGTCGTAAGTCGAGGACTACCTGTATTGGCTTGGTTTATATACCTATTTTCTCTCTTGCTGAAACTGCAGTAAAAAGATTAGAAAATCATTAATGCATCTGTAAAAAGTGTATTGTTACCTGGAATGTTTAGGTTGCAGATTTGAAATATAGCAAATCAAAGTTATCTGTTTGTTTTAGAGCTGGATTACAGAAATGAAAGAAGATGAGTATAAAATGCGATATGCTACAACTGAAGTTTTCAAAGAAAATGTGGAAAATTTACCACCAATTCGTAGTTCAGAGAACCATCATTCCCTAAGTCAGGTTATACAATATCAATATGTGAATTTTATACTTTGTGGGGAAAGGGGAAGAGAGAGCGAAAGTGCCATTCTTCACTAGATGTTTGCAGATGATAATATTTGTAATTTAAAAAATTTAAGAAGCTCTTAAGTTGTGTGTCCAATTTGATACATTTTATTTAATTGTGGTCTTAAAATGAATTCAGTGACCTCCCTAGAATGCATGTATCTTGAAACAGTTGTTGAAGATATTTACTTATTTATGTTAGATTTATTTTCTACCTTTCCTTTATGAGCTCAAGGCAACATACATGGCACTGGATCCTCCCATTTTTTTTTCACAACTACTAAGAGATAATGACTGACCTAAAGTTATTCAGTGAGTTTTCAGGGTGAGAGGGAACTTGAATCAGTATCTCCCCAGTCCTCAACCAGTACCCTAATCACTAAAGAAACTTAATTTAGATCAAGAAGTTACTGACAATTGTAAGCTAGCATGGCCATTTATTGCGAGAGTTGAGCTCACCTTGAGTGAATCTTTATCTCTGGTAAACAATAGCAAAACAAATTTATTTATTTATTAAAAATATTTCTGTAATGTCTGACTGTTACAGAATAAAACTGCAAAAACAAAGCAAAAGAAGAAAAATATACCAAGGGACTACAGAGAATGGGATAAGTATGTTGGATACCTTCTGCTAATTACTTGTAATGGAGAGATGCTTTTACCTATTGGGACATAACTGTATGCAAAGTGTCCTTATGACCCAGATTCAATCCCTGGTGTTGTTGGTATATGTGTTTCTAGTACCTGCACTGGGAAAGACAGCTGCCTGGGATTGTGAGGGAGCACTGCTTTTATTGGTTGGCCACATGGGCTGTGATGGATCACTGGCTTCAAGTAAAGGATATTGTTTTGCCCTTAAACCATATTGTAATTAAATCTTACTGTAATTAAAAAAAATTCCACTAAATCATTTTGAATTTAAGGTTTGATGTGGAAAAAGAATGTTCCAAAATTGAGGACCAAGAAGACAATTATTCTAAAACCAGCATTAATGATACCATAAAATTACCAAATGCAGAGATAAACACAACAGGTAAATAATCCCCAAGGAACGTATAGTTTGTTTTGTTACAGTGTAAGAGGTCTAATACCATAAAAGCAGTTCTTGTTTCAGAAATAATTGATGCTCTAAAAATTATGGCACTTTGGAAACTTTGGTTAATTATATTGTATATCTTAATGACATCTATATCTATATCTCAAATGTTTAAATTCCCATTCTCAGAAACATAGAATGTTATTCTGCTTTTATAATAAAAATTCTACCATTTTATTATGCTTTGTCTCTGAAGAGATAGCATTGACATCAGTAAAACAAACAAGCAAAAACATTTTTCTGATTGCATATCTTCTCCAGTGAAGTAGTTAAACTAGTAGTAGAAGCCAGTTATTTTGAAAATGAATTTTTAAAACTTATCCTTATCCTTACCATGTTGGAAGTGACTGTTTACATAACAAAATTAAAAATTACAAAGAACAGCATCAACTGTTATCACTTCAGTCCTGACAGAGTTAACCCACTCAAACTTCCTTATATACTGAGCAAGATCATTGGCTTCTAGCCTACAGCTGTTCATTAGTTGACACTGTTGCCTAAGGTCTCAGGCAGAAGTATGTTCCACCTTTGCTACTTGAGATCCTTTTAACTAGACATACTGAGAATTAAACCTACGATACCCCTGCATGCAAAATCTGTATCCTACCATAGAATTATTGAAATGCAGAATTACTGCTTGCCAGATCAGTGCACTTTTATAAATCACCCATAGCTATGAAAGTTAAAATATTTTTATAGAAGTGCTTTTGCCTGCAAATGTTGTTCTTTTCATTTATAATAAGAATTTTCTAGGTATGACTACAAAAGAAAAGACATCTGCTGCTCATCGTGAAAAAGAAAAAGGTAATGAAGCATTTGTCACAGGTGACTATAAAGAAGCAATTGCATACTATAGTCGGTAAGTTACTGCTATTTGAATGATTCTTGCCAATTTATTACAAAAATTATACTTTGGCTTTGATTAAGAGCTATTGAACAAATTAAGAAACTTAAATATTTGCTTTCAAAATAATAATCAGATGGGAGTTCTTATGTCCTATAAGGAGAATCTATCAAATTAGTATTCTGGAACCTCTGTGAATGTTTTACAACTGGAAGAAAAGGCTACAAACTGTACTACAGACATGCTGCTTATATCATGCATATTTACTGGAATTTAATAGTCTAACTATATACAGACTTATAGCTATGATAAAGATTACCTTTTCTTGTGGTCTTTCGTGAAATACAGTGGGGCAAAAAAGTATTTAGTCAGCCACCAATTGTGCAAGTTCTCCCACTTAAAAAGATGAGAGAGGCCTGTAATTTTCATCATAGGTATACCTCAACTATGAGAGACACAATGG